GGTTTCTTGTATAAAAAATGATCTTGTTATTTATTATTCTAATTGTTATATCCAAAAAATTCACACTACCATCGTCATTTTCTTCTAAAGTAAAATTAAATCGATTGTGTTGAGAGTTAAAAATTTCTAAAGTTTGATTAATGAGCGCTTTAGGCAATGCTAATAAAATATCATCTACATATCTAAAATGTATAAGTATGTCAATGTCAATAGTAGCAAGAATTTTACTTTTGAAAATCAAAACCTTACACGGTCTAGCTGGATCTTAATGCTTGTATGATTCTTATGTGAATTTATATACTACGTATGTAGTCCCACAGAAACGTGCAAACCTTTAGACTTGCCTCGGTAGTCTAAAGGCTCAGGACGCTCGCACGGTATGCAAGAGATCCGGGTTTGACTCCCGCCCGAGGTAATATTTTTCGCAATAAGAATTAATTATTTACAGATTTTAATATGTTATTCATCATTATTAAGATCGTTTCGAAGATGCGAATAAGCATCAAAAAATTTGTTAAAATTGCTAGTCAATTTAACTCGTGATATTACTGCGGTAGTTTAGTAGAGTTAGCGTTTCAAGACCGGAAATTTTTCGGCGCGCGTTTCTGTGGGACTACATACGTAGTATATAAATTCACATAAGAATCATACAAGCATTAAGATCCAGCTAGACCGTGTAAGGCTTTGATTTTCTATAGTTTGTGTTATCACATGTATGGTCCTATAATATATTATATTAATTTTACTTTTAATACCTTCCATAACCAAATCAGAAATAATAGGCGATAAAGGAGGACCCATGGGCATACCGAATATCTGTTAAAATATTTCCTCTCAAATTGGAAGTAAGTTGAGTTTAAAATTAATTTTAAAGAAATAATAAATTCATTAAGTGGTATTGTTGTGTGATTCGCAATTAATTCCTATCTTTTAACTATTCCTTCAATAGCTAATTCTATTGGAATGTTGGTATACATTGACTCAACGTCAAATGAAACTAATTTAAAGTCTGGATTTAAAGGTCTATCATTCAGTTTATCAACTAAACCTGTTTTTTATAAAACCAAATTTTGATTTTTTTAAGCTATTATCAATAGCAGTTTTAAGGTAGTTAGACAAAGGAAAAGTGGGACTATTAATGCAACTCACAATTAGTCTAAGTGGAAAATTAATTTTATGGATCTTCGGCAGCCCATAGACTCTAGGCAATACTCCATCAATAACCAACAATCTTTTATATACACTCATACGCAAAAAAAACGGGCCACTTAAAATTTAGCACTAATTTTTAATATTTTCAAATAGCAATAACTCAGTGAAAATTCATCGTAGCG